TAAACTACATTGAGCTGGAATGAGAGCCTGGACAGGAGGTGAGTTAAAGAAATATACAAGTGTGGATACATCTGTAACAGTGTTGGGAAGTGTGTTCTGAGAAACATTATAATAACTGCTATAATAATAAAACAAAAAAGCCCAAGTACACTCAGCTTTAATATCTGCAAAAGGTAGCTACTTTTAATGTTCAAAGTAAAAGCATAGAAAAATTGCAGAACAAGACATTAAACTTATTATTTTCAGTAAAACACCTGTTATAAGAGAGGCGTTCTAAAATCTGTGACCGGTCGTGTGAGTTTTTAGTATATACAGTACATACATATGTAGATATTTAACATATATATATATAAGTATGCTTATAATACAGCAGTGACTAAGCAACTGCTGAAAAAGGGTATATACATGGCAGCAATGGAGTAGCTGTCGGCTGATGTTACAAAGCAGGCCCAGGTTGAGGAAAGATCCCCCCAGTCTGGAGCGACGTGTGTATGTGTGTTCGCTGAATTCTCACACAGAGCTGATGGGGGACTGTTGCTGCATCCACCTATGATAAATAAAAAAAACTTTTTAAACCCGCCCAGAGGCCCAACTTTTTTTTTTCAGATCTAGTTTACTACCACTTTAAGGGTGGGAAAAACACACCTATGTAATTTTGTCATTGAAATCAATGGCAACACATGTCACAACATACATGTAAAGATGCACACTGAGTTTTCATTTAGTTCAATGGGAACTGCGGAAAAAAAAACAAAACAAAAAAGGAAGTTGTGTTGCTAGTCCAAATTGACAAAAAATTACACTAATCTTTCCACTTCTATAGGTTGTTCGGTAAATATATGCCAAATATTGTGCTATTATTATATCAGATATTTTTGTTTTTGCAGACTCTAGATGAAGAATATCCCAACCTACCTTTTAAGAAGACAACACTTTATCAATACAGCTTTTCTTTATTGTGCACTTTGTGATACATAAATGTATATTTTAATAAACCAATAGCCTGTGTTTTGCAAGAAAATCTTATGTTCACCAATTATTTTCTAATAATATTCACAACGGTATATGGTAAAACTGTTTAAGATTAATAATGAACATAAAAAATGAAAGGAGTTGCCAAGAACTTGTCTTTTGTTTTACAAATTATAAATCTGCAAATTCCTTCATAATGTGAAAGGTAGTATCTACTTCTAAATCTAACTGACTGCACTGAACCAAACAGCTATTTAAATGTTTACGGAGCACAACTTGAAGTGCACAAATTCCAAATAAAGTAGAAATCCAGACACCATAAACAAGACAATGAGACTGCTCAATGTACTGGATGCAGATTCTCAACTCAACATAATTGTATATTCAAAGTAAACTACAATTTATTGAGTAAAAAACTAGTAAATAAACCCTATAGTTCTGCAGAAAAAAAAACCCCACAAGATGCATTGAATCCTTCACATATAAAAATAAAATCATGAGGCACCAAAAAAAAAAAGTCTTTATCATCAACTCACCTGATCTGGTTTTCTGCTTCTCATTGGAAGAAATGTATAGGCTGTACTTGGCATCATAACACAAGATGTAACAGATGAATAAATAGCCTCAGCCTTAGACTGTAAACTGATTTAATTGTACATCATATTTTAACAGCTCTGTAAAATTAATGTAGATTTCCAGCACAATATAGGCACATCATGGTATTTTTTTTCTTCAACTTTCACAAGCACTAAAAGCTACTACCAAAGGGTTAATAAAATATTTTTAACATTGCACAGATTGGCTACAGCAGGACATGGGTGTTAATAAGTGTGCAAATGTAAAATGTACAAATAAATGGATTGCCATTTTAGAAACTAATAATATAAAACACAAATATTTCATAAAAAAATTTAGATATTTCTTTATAGCCATTATTCTATGCTTGTCTGAAAACATACCAATCCTATTGTAAATAAAGAGATGCAGTGTGTACAGGAAGATTGCTATTATAATCTGATAAAAAAAAAAGCTTTATTTGGTGGCTTAAAAAGGAAATTGGTGACATAAAAAGGAAAATTGGTGACAAATATACATCTTACACTCAGGCTTCATGTAGGTCTTTGTAGAATTCTCCAGTCCTAAAGCATTCTGTGAGTGAACAGCTCTCTATTCTTGTCCATGCATTATAGTCACTGCCAGTCTAAATGTTAGAGCACAGAGAGAGTAATTCCTGAAGAGAACAGTGAAGCAGAACTTTGCTAGAATCTGTGCAACATCTCTCTACGTACATGGCCCCCATGTCCCCCTATTTTACAAATCAAACTTGTGTTGGGTAATATTTTCACACTGCCTCTAATTAAACCTGACTCCTATTATGTCTACACTAACCTATTCCAAGCGAACACTTGATTGGCTGCTATGGAGTTACTACCTATGACTGCCACTTTGTGCTATAGTAAAATGTGTATGTGTTTCAGTGACTTATGAATCATGCTTTGGGGGCCAGGTAAATTGCATTAAAGCCCACCTGCAGTCAAAAGGTTTTCAGGTCGTGAACTAGACAGGGAGGGATGGACCCTATGTCAAATTGTAAACGCTATCTGTGCCACCTTTGTGCTAATTACTCCCCTCCCCATGCCCTCTCATGTATAACACCCTACACCAGGCCAAGACACCCCAATAGGGACACAAATGGCAAAATGAATAGTCTCAGGAGAACATTGCTGTGTCTCCACTGACTAGCTTTCCAGACTTTGTTTTGTCTAACTCCTAAGAAAAAACAAACAGGAAATGAGGAGAAATCTCCCCAATGAGGGGCCTGGCCATAAAACGTTGGCACAGCTTGTACTGTATCCCTCCCTCATTCTATGCACACCAAAAAAATAAACCTCACAATTTTTGAAGTACAAAATTATGAGCAAACCTGAGTGTTACCATAAGGATTGTCCTAGTAAAGACACTTTCATTATTCTCGGTGATTTCTTCCAACAATAGGTTAGTCTACGCCCTTACACAGTCCATGTTTCAAGGAAAGAACTGCACTGAAGAAAATTGGCTGTTTTATAAACACGCATAACTGAGAAAAAAACATTCAAATAATCTGAACAATCTAACAAGAAGAGCTGTGCAGGTAAAACGTATTACAATGTGTCCATTTAGAGGGATCTGACTATATGTCATTTCTCTACAATTCAAGACAAAGATTTTAGGACATGTCCGAGGTTATTCAATGAGGTTAGGCAAAAAAACAGTGCTGATTTGCAAACATCAGCAATCAATTCTAAGCCACCTCTTTACCTGACTGCAGTAACCTGGAATCTAACTGCTGGCTCTGGATTGTAAATCACACTGCTTCTGGCACTCAGTTACAGGAGCAACACAGTTGTGGAGGACACGGTCATGGTACAACAGTCAGATGTCAAAACTTTTTTTTTTTTTTTTTACATATATTATACACATTACATGGTACCCAGTTCAAGGCATGTCCATGCTTCAGAAGAAAACGTGAAGGAAGGAAAAAAAAAGCGAAGAAAACATTTAGGATGAAGGACATGTGCTTAGTCACTGCCATTACAAAGCTTCAGTAGGATTTTCCTGTAATCTCCAGACGTGTCACCCTATAAACGAGAAGGAAAGATGTACAAATTGTTTTTACACAGATTATGTTGCACATTTTGTCGCAGTATATACACACACTACTACATTATGTCGCAGTCTATATACACACAGTATACCCACACTACTACATTATGTCGCGCAGTATATATACACACACTACTACATTATGTCGCAGTATATATACACAGTATATGTTGGAAGACCCAGCCACGTTTCATCTTCAATGCCCTTGCTGATGGAAGGAGGTTTGCACTCAAAATCTCATGATACATGGCCCCATTCATTCTGTCCTGTAAATGGATCTGTCATCCTGGTCCCTTTGCGGAGAAACAGCCCCAAAGCATGATGTTGCCACCTTCAAGCTTCACAGTAGGTATCGTGTTCTTTGAATGCAACTCAGCATTCTCTCTCCTCCAAACACGACGAGTTGTGTTTCTACCAAAAACAGTTCTATTTTGGTTTCATCTGACCATATGACATTCTCCCAATCCAATTCTGGATCATCCAAATGCTCTCTAGCAAACTTCAGATGGTCCCGGACATATACTGGCTGAAGCAGGGGGACACGTCTGGCACTGCAGGATCTGAGTCCCTGGCGGCTTAGTGTGTTACTGATGGTAGCCTTCGTTACGTTGGTCCCAGCTCTCTGCAGGTCATTCACTAGGTCCCCCCGTGTGGTCCTGGGATTTTTGCTCACCGTTCTTGTGATCATTTTCACCCCACGGAGTGAGATCTTGCGTGGAGCCCCAGATCGAGGGAGATTATCAGTGGTCTTGTATGTCTTCCATTTTCTAATTATTGCTCCCACAGTTGATTTGTTCACACCAAGCTGCTTCCCTATTGCAGATTCAGTCTTCCCAGCCTGGTGCAGGTCTACAATTTTGTTTCTGGTGTCCTTCGACAGCTCTTTGGTCTTCACCATAGTGGAGTTTGGAGTGTGACGTTTGAACTTGTTATCAGTATAAAAGACACCTGTCCACAACCTCAAACAGGTGCCACTGATACAGATAATGAGTGCAGGACAGAGGAGCCTCTTAAAGAAGGTACAGGTCTGTGAGAGCCAGAAATCTTGCTTGTTTGTAGGTGACCAAATACTTATTTTCCACCATAATTTGCAAATAAATACTTTCCAAATCAGCCAATGTGATTGTCTGGATTTTTTTTCTCATTTTAACTCTCATAGTTGAGGTCTACCTATGATGCCAATTACAGGCCTCTCTCATCTTTTTAAGTGGGAGAACGTGCACAATTGGTGGCTGACTAAATACTTTTTTGCCCTACTGTATACAGTATACACAGACTACTTCAAAATCCCTTTTCTTACAATACTAACAGACCAAGTACAGTAGAGAAAAATAAGTATTTTCTCCACCAGGAATGACAATTTCTAAATATTAATGATCATTAACCGCTTTCCCTCCGTCCTACAGCAGAAGTACTGCTACAGGGCTGCACAAAATCACGTATATATACACACGGTTTGCATTTCTGGGTAGGGGGCATGTGCGCACTGCCCTACCCGCAACGCTATTGGCGGCTAGAGGTGTCAATCACTGGGTTCTAGTTGGCGATTCCCCACCCACCGACACCTGGTATGTAAACAATACAGATCTCTCCCATCAGCACCTGTACACTTGCTTTGTATGGCTCTGCATAGCAAAGCCATACAAAGCAATGTGCTTACAGTGAAACACACACACTGGGAAACCGCACAGTTAACCCTTTGATCGCCCCAGATGTTAACACCTTCCTGCTCAGTGCCATTAGTACAGTGTCAGTGCTGTTTATTAGCACTGATCACTGTATTAGTGTCAGTGGCAGTTAGTTCCCCCCAGTGTCAGAATTTTACAGCAGTCCCACTATAAGTCACTAATAGCCGCAATTACTAGTTTAAATGAAATAAAAAATATATCACCATTTGTAAACGCTATAACTTTCACGTAAACCAATTAATTTACACGTATTGGTATTTTTTTTTGTTAGCAAAGACATGTATCAGAATACATTTTGGCCTACATTTATGAAGAAATTTGATTTTTTTATTGGATAGGTTGTATAGCAAAAAGTCAAAAATATTGTTTTTCTTTCACAATTATTGTTTTTTTTTGTTCATAGCACAAAAAATTAAAAAGCACAGAGGTGATCAACTACCACTGAAAAAAAGCTCTATTTGTGGGGGAAAAAAGGACATAAATTTCATTTGGGTGCAGCGTTAAAGTAAAAGTAAAAGTTAAAGTAACACAGTGCAGTATTGCAAAAAATGGCCTGGTCAAGAAGGGGGGTAAATCTTCTGGAGGATAAGTGGTTAAATAAATTTACTCGAACAGACTCACAATGTAATAATGGAAGCTTTAGAACATGGGATAACTTTAAGATAAGGACTTTCATATGCATTTATGTACTGTGCTTGTGCATCAATTGCAGCATCTGGATTAACAGAAGACGACATTTACAGTACTATCCAGTTCTAGTTTTTACACTACACTGCTGTTTGCACAGTTCAGAGTAATGTGTTTATAGCAATGCATACAAAGATCTTACCGTGATATCTGTGTATAATGACTTGCCATACATCTTCTTGTACTCCTGGCGGATGTCCAGCAAATCTACTTCACTACGAGATACCATGATGCGAATCAGGGTTTTATCTTTTGTCCCAGCACCCTGCACACAAAACAAAGATGAGTCAGATAACATTTTTCCTTTGAATTAAATGATTTCTTGACTAAACTAAAAAGCTAGGAAATCATGTTCCTGTATGGATATTATAAAGGTTCACGAGGAAGTTAGCAGCAAATTAGTTGGTAGCAAATAGTTGAAAATATAATCTGTGCTTCAATGAAGGATGGTTGTTTGGAATATCTTTGTGTGACTTACCTTCATTGCTTTGTAGAGTCGCTCTGCAAAGAATGCTGACGTGTTTTTAAGGCATTTTACTGAAAAAGACAAAAGTATGCTGAATCAGTATACTGAACAGAGTTCTATGTTAAATGTAGAATGATTATTATAGCCCTTTATATTCTGAGTTATCTGGTAAATTTAAAATGTGTACAATTTATGGCACAACAAATTATACATTGTACATATTCAATATATATTTTATTACCACCATTATTTTTAAAGCTGAAACTTAAAAAAAAAAATAAAGAAAATAAAGAAAAGCAAATTCTTTACCTATCTACAAAGAGGCTATCACAGGGGGAGGGGGGAGCTTGTCAAGGAGGCAAACTGCTGCAAGCATGCATTTAGGAGGTGCACATGCCTGTAGCAGTACCCCCAGTCCTTTCAGCCATAATCCTTCTGACAGGTACAACACACTTCAAACCAGCAGCAGATCGCACCCCCACCACCCTTGACAGAGTCTCTTTAACTCTTCCCTCTGTGTGCCAGTAATCCTTAGACAGTGCTAAAATTGCACAGCGAGTTTCTTTAATACATGATTTAATACACGTTTGAAATGTAATTCTGAAATTAATTTGCCATTTTACCCATAGACAACTTTACAGGTGCCTCATACAAAAGAGTCCTAGGTTTTTTTTCTTACTGTGGTGAATTAGTAAGCAATTAAAATGTAATGTAAATTGTCTGTGAAAATGCATCTTTTACAAACTAATAGCTTCATACAAATGCAGTATATTCCTTTATGCAGTGGCACAAATATTAGCCCACTGATAAAGCTTTTATATGTAATACATCAGTAGAAGGTCTATTTAATGTAGCAATGTGTCCAATGATCATACCTTACTTATGCAAATAAAAAAAATAATATGATAACAAATACACACAACAGCAAGGCATGGAGAGATATCACACAGTAAGGGCTTGTACATACAGCCTTTATAAAGCAGCGCTTAGCTCCTATTGCTGCTACCAGCCAAGAGCCCTCTGTAAACGCTTGCTTTGAATGTGGCTCAAATAAAAATGGTACCACTTACTGAGTTCAAATGCTGCATGACCTGTACAAGCCCTTACAGAATGCTAAGCAACTTTCATAAAGCCAGCTCTGGAAAAGAAAAATTACCCTATTTGTTTTGTCACAACTGAACTTCTCTAGTTGTACTACTGATATTTTGGTGACCCTGCTGCAGTGTCCATGCTAATTTCAAACAAGATATTGCCAGAGAGGGGTAGGGGGCAGGCAGGTTCCATAGATAGATAGATATAGAAGTGCCAAAGCCAACAGTAGCCTCTGCTGCTAGACAGAAGCCTCAGAAGTAATAACTGCCTGGAGAGATTCATTTTTAAAATAAAATTATAATGTTCTGTTTAAACAGCAATGCAAGGGATAATATCCAGCGTACAAATTAGTCCTGTATACACACAAACACACACACACTTTTCGTTTATTTTACTAAGAAAAGATAACGGAATAGATTTATCTTTTTGATCAGTTCTGGCTTTATAAAGGCCACTCAACATGGCACTACTACACTGCAAAATGGATCCAAGGTGATGTAAGTGATCTCAGAGTTACCAGACATCTTCAGGAAGCTTATAAACAATTAAAGAAAAAAGGAGAAACAATCCACATTAGCATCAACAAAAGCTGCAAACAGATCAGTAAGACCACACACAGAATTAGCCAGAAATTACAATACTGTGCTGATATTATACAGAAGGTAACAGTCTGTAATTGGAATAATTGGCACAGTCCTAATGAATAACAGGTGCACACAGGACAATGTAGTTATAAAGAGACACAAATTCCAGACATATGGCCACAAGTTAAGCTTGACTGGCATTCCATAGCTCTGCAGAGTATTCAGGATGTCCAGTGGCAATGTGTAGAACTAGGTCAAGCCACTTACCTACTGCAAGCATGCCTCTCTCCAGATCCCCAGACATTTCCCGGCAGATGCTCTTCTCCAGGTCTCGGTTGTACGTTCTCTGGTATTCATAAAACACTAAAATTTTAAAAAGTTACATTCATTAGTTTTTTACCTATTAAATATTTTCTACTATAGAATAGTGATAATTGATCATCATTGTTCACAACTGGATTGCTGAGGTCTAGTGTTTCCATGAAGAAGCCTAACAATCTAAAAGATCACACTCCTCTTAAAATAATGTGTAAAAAAAAAAAAAAAAAAAAGAAGAAGAATACCCTCATCCATAAATACCCTCATCCATCAACCCCAACAGGGACCAAGTACTCTTTGGTAATTATATTTGCCTTATTGCTGATCTGTCCTGCCTGGATTCCCTCTTTTATAAAAAATACCAGTACTTCTGGGTATAGGGGAATATGTGACATGTCACCTGCCTCCCTACAATGACTTAAGTAGCCAATTCCTAGACCCCAGAACTGTGACATGGAAGCAGGAGACATACAATTTAGTAAACAATTGTTCACAATACACAGCAATTTCAATTGCTGGGGACTGCAGGTGAAGCAGCAGAGATCTAAAATAGCTGCTGTAATGGTACAGACATGAAAGTATCTATAGAACAGACTGGGGTGGCTTTATTTTACTATAAAAATGCCCTTTGCTGTGGTTAAACCCTTAAGAGCCCCAGAGATTAGATCCTACAGCAGCACCAAATGGCCAGCACAAGGGTCTTCTTGTAGCACTAGAACACATTCATTCAGCCATCATAACAGCAATATCGTTGGTTATAGGAAAATTTTATAATAAAAAGTATAGCAGCGTACACGGTTACAGCAGGGGAAGTTCCGGCATCAAGATCTGAAACACTGCAATGTTGTTGGAGTTATTTCTGCTTTAATAGAGGCTGCTCCCATAGTTTGTGCAGCCCATTTTCGGTTGGCAATATAGTGTATGATATACCTCTTGGACCAGCAAAGTATTGGCACACCCCTCCAAATCATTGGATTCAGGTGTTCCAATCACCTCCATGGCCTCAGGTGTATAAAATCAAGCACCTAGGCATGCAGACTGCTTCTACAAACATTTGTGAAAGAATGGGTCGCTCTCAGGAGCTCAGTGAATTCAAGCATGGTACCGTGATAGGTTACCACCTGTGCATCCGTGACATTTCCTTGCTACTAAATATTCCACGGTCAACGGTTAGTGGTATAATAACAAAGTGGAAGCAACTCGGAACAACAGCAACTCAGCCACGAAGTATAGGTCATGTAAAATGGCAGAGTGGGGTCAGCGCATGCTGAAGCACACAGTGCGCAGAAGTCACCAAGTGTCTGCAGAGTCAATAGCTAAAGACCTCCAAACTTCATGTTGCCTTCAGATTAGCACAACAGTGCGTAGAAAGCTTCATGAAATGGGTTTCTATGGCCAAGCAGCTGCATCCAAGTCTTACATCACCAAGTGCAATGCAAAGCGTTGGATGCAGTGGCGTAAAGCATGCCACCACTGGACTTTAGGGCAGTGGAGACGTGTTCTCTGGAGTGACAAATCACGCTTCTCTGTCTGGCAATCAGATGAACGTGTGTGGGTTTGGCAGTTGCCAGGCGAACGGTACTTGCCTGACTGCATTGTGCCACGAGTAAAGTTTGGTGGAGGGGGGATTATGGTGTTGGGTTGTTTTTCAGGGGTTGGGCTTGACCCCTTAGTTCCAGTGAATGGAACTCTTAAGGCATCAGCATACCAAGACATTTTGGACATTTTGGACAATTTCATGCTCCCAACTTTGTGGGAACAGTTTGTGGATGGCCCCTTCCTGTTCCAACATGACTGCACACCAGTGCACAAAGCAAGATCCATAAAAGACATGGATGAGGGAGTTTAGGGTGAAGGTACTTGACTGGCCTGCACAGAGTTCTCACCACAACCCGATAGAACACCTTTGGGATGAATTAGAGTAGAGAGTGTGAGCCAGGCCTTCTCGTCCGACATCAGTGCCTGATCTCACAAATGCTCTTCTGGAAGAATGGTCAAACATTCCCATAGACACACTCCTAAACCTTGTGGACAGCCTTCCCAGAAGAGTTGAAGCTGTTATAGATACAAAGGGTGGGCCAACTCAATATTGAACTCGACGGACTAAGACTAGGATGCCATTGAAGTTCATGTGCGTGTAAAGGCGCCCCAATACTTTTGGCAATATATTGTATCTGCAATGATTATCTGGTGGAGGTTGCCTATAAAAAGACTTCAAATACAAACAGAAACAATCACTTCACTATCTAAATGGGTTTTACCCATGAAAGTGATCATGACAAAAGCCATACAGTATCATCCTACACCTAGGGGGGAGGAGCCTAAACATGGCGGCGTCGGAGAGCACGATGTGAGTGCTCTCCGATAACCCACGAGGAGACCACCACCACGAGAGCACTTCAATGCCCGAAGCCCTACCTGAGTGAGGAGGTCCCCAGGGGGAGAGGGTGCCCGTGCTGAGGGGAGAAGACGGCGAGTGTGGAAGCGGAGCTCCGGGAGGTGTTTGCATCGCGGAGACCTGGGATCAGCTGTCGGGTTGCCGGGGAGACGGAGCAGAGCGGCGTGACCACGCTGGTTAGCCGCAAAGCCGCAAAGGAGCACTGGGAAGCAGAGGCACCGGCCGGTTCCCTGACAAATGCTGGCTCCCTGACAGGAGAACAGAGATGCTGGCTGTAAACCTATAAAATCAGCAGCACAGGAGTGGAAGGCGACAGAGCACATATACCTACAGAAGACCCTGCAGGAATCCCCCAGAGACATTGGCTGAATGCGGTGAGTGGACGGCTGGAGATCTGAGTCGACTCACTAGATGAGGGAACAAGTGAAGGAGGGTGAGTCCATATGTATGATCCCACATGTAATTGTGTAACTGTGTTGAACTGTGGGAAGGACTGTTAACCACCAACAAAGAGAGAAGGGGGACTCCCAGGGATTGGAAAAGTGAAAACAGAATTGAAAAGGGAAAGAGAAATTACTAAGTGGCTACAGAAGAGACCTGGGAAAAGAAATAAGAAAATGAAGTGTTAAAGTGACAGAGACTGTTTAATATTAATACCCCAATATACTGCCTAAAGCTTCCTGCTGTTTAAAGAACTATACTAAGTGCAGAAGATATGAAGAATAAAAGCGCTAAAGGAAGTGGGCTTAAAGGTCCCAGACGGCTCAATTAAAAAATTTACTTCCCAGGGTAATGCGACTCCAGAAAGGGCCTATAGTGGAAATGAAAAGGGGGAAATGGAAACTACCTTGGAGAATAGCCCTAGATTGTCAATAGGCCTGGATAGTAGTAGCCAACAGTGGACAGAAAACTTAGCGAGGAAAGATCTTGAAAAGATTTGCAAGTGCCGAACAAAAGAGAGATGACTGTAATGTTTAAGGACTTGGAAAAAACTATTAAGCAAGAAATGACAAATATACGTCAGGATCTAGGGCATCTGCTAAAGAGAACGGAAGAAATAGAGGGAAATATCAACAAACATACCCATATCATTTCAGACTTAGAAAAAAGGTCCGCTTTGATGAGGAATATGCAGAAACAACTGCAGTAAAAAATAGAAGTACAGGAGAACAGGTCTAGGAGAAGCAACTTGAGGATAAGAGGAATCCCAGATATCCTGAAAGGTGGAGAACTGCAAGAAAAAGTCTGTAAAATGTTAAACTATATTATGGATAGACCTGAAACAGAGGTAATTAAACTGGATGGAGTCTTTAGATCAGGAAAGCCCCAACAAGGTAACGGGAAGGAAAAATCAAGAGATGTGATTGTTCAGCTGCAAAATTATGGAGATAAGCAAGAGATTTGGAGAAGGATTAAAGGAAGAACTTCTATTAAGTATGGAGATATAAATATCCCGATTTTGCGGATCTATCGTACGAGACTTTGTGGAGAAGAAGAGCTTTGAGGCCCCTATTAGAGCAGATGAGATCAAGAAATGTCCATTATAGATGGGGTAACCCAGAGTGTCTGATCGGATGGAAGAACGGTGTTACAGCATACATGAGATTTCCCGAGGACTTAAGAGACTTCTGTGACAGACTGGAATTGCAGAGAATGAGGATTAGTGGGTGGGAAACAGAGACTGAAATAGGCATTGGGGGAAAGAAGTATGGCAGGAAGTAGGTAGAGGGGAGGTAGTGAGGAGTTAGTTGGGATAGAGGGAGTTTTTTTTTTTTTTCCCCCTAACTTTCTCCCCAAAGTTAAGGTTAAAAGATTTAAAGCAAGTGAGGGAATCGGTGGTGGTTGGAGGTGGGTAAGTCGTACATGGAGGAGTTCAACCCCAAGGTTTAAATAAAAAAATCAAAGGTGGTATCTTCACCACAAATGATTGATAGGCAGGTAGAAGGCCTAAAAAGGGGTGGGGTGGGGGGGGGGGGTGGCCTGGGAGGGAGGGGGGGAGGGGATGGGACTTGGGTGGGGGGAGGGAGGGGAGGAGGTATTGGGTCAATACTCTGCAGGACAGAAGGGAGAGGCAATCTGGAAGAGAGATGGAGTTAATTGGGAATGATGGAAGAAATACAGTTTATAACTTATAATGTGAATGGTCTGAGTTGTCCAGGGAAGAGATTTAGGCTGTTTAATGAGTTACACCATAGGGCGACGTCAGTGGTTTTTTACAGGAGACGCATTTTGAGATAGAGGCAAACGTGAAATTGAAATCCAAACACTTCCCAATATGGTACTATGCAGATTCTCCAATTAAAAGAGCAAAAGGGGTTGCAATAGGTCTGGCAAAGAATATGAGATTTGAGCTGGAGGATAGAAGAACCGACCCGGAGGGGAGGTTTTTATTCTTAAAAGGTAGACTTCAGGGGATTGAGTGTACTTTAGCCAATATATACTGCCCTAATAAAAACCCGGAGATGTATATGAAGGGTCTGTTGAAAAAATTAATGGAATTTAAAAAAGGGCGTTTGATAGTAGCTGGAGACCTAAATTTCTGTATGGACCCACAAAAGGATAATACCTCTTCTGTGCAAAGAGAGGGGAGTAGATCTCTGAGAGCTTTGAAAAAAGTGATGCATGAATATCAACTAGTGGACACCTG